TTGGTTTTAAATACATCATCACGAATATTTCCATATTTTATTTTAAATGCTTATAATTGACTGCATTTATTTAATTATAGCATTCGTGCCTAACATTGTATAATTCAGGTCATTTGGGATTTATGTTATCAGATTTGTTGGAATGATAAGAAGTTTTATCATATTTGAAGATCGCAATGTGAACATTTATAAAATGTAAACAAACTTAGCATTTGAGAAAATGTAAACAAACTTTCGTTCTCATACGTCAAATTTGAAATTCATTCTTTTTTTAATGATATTTTTATTCAACAAGATACGTATCAGATAATTAGCATCGATGATAGGAAAGGAAATTTTCGAATTTTAATTAATTTTATCAGTAGGATAATTGAATAGCATTTCCATCATCGATATTTGCATATTCTTCTTCTTTTTTCTTTTCTTCTCTTAGTTTTATTTCTAATTTTATGAAAATATTGAATGACTTTGACAAGGAGAAGATAGGAATGATTGATAAGATAACTGTAAAAAGCATAAAGATAATCATTGGTTTATTCGTTTGACCTTGAATGTTTAGATAAATGAATATTTCCTTTTTAAAATTATAGATCAGGTAGTAATTGATCATAAGCTATTTTACTCGTTTAATTATTACTCAACTAATGTCCATTTTTCTACAGTTTTAATTCTACTTGACCATTTAACCACTTGATAAAATAATCATTGCTTAATATCGGTAGAAATAGCATAATAAACAGGTATGACGAGAAATTTGCTCCAGAAAATTCAAAACAAATTTGTGAAAATGTTATCAGTTGAATTTTACTATAATTAGCAATAATTTTTTTATTATAATTTAACTTGTAATTAGCTTAATTAGCTAAATGAATTAAGTTTACGATAGATTGCAATGATAACGAGTCATAAGTAGATTAATTGTTATGGAAGTGAGGTGATTTTTATAAATTACATATTTGAACAATAATTATATAGCTAAGAAATAATTAATCAAGGGTTGGAATTTGTTGTAATTATATCGGGATATCTTCCATTTATTAATTAATATTTAATTAAAGTGTAATATGATCAATTTCATATGATCATTTATTGATCAATTATTTGTGATATGATATGATCATTTATTGATTAATCATTGTTTAAATAGATTGAAATGTGTTCATATCTTGGAAGAGCAATTATAGAATTTGTTTCTTTTTTTTTGTCAATTTGAATGATTGAATAATAATAGAACTTACCGTTGAGAAAAAAAAGTCATTTTGTATTAATTAATGATCTATGTTATTCACTTTAAAATTATCCTATTTCAAAATTCTTGATATCACAACACTGATAAGAGCTGATAAGGGCTCAATGATGCAGTATAAAGCAAAAAGAAAAATGTGAAAAAAAAAAGAAAAGTAAGGAAA